ATTTTTGCAATTTTTTGGAATTTTCTAAAATTGTAAGTAATTAATAATTACATATGAAAAAGTGCAAAAATCATACCAGTAAATACAATTACATAGCAGTAGCCTACTGTAAAAATTCCAAGTCCAAAATCCAAGTCATGCTCCCCTAAGAGCAATTTACCAAACAAAACCAAACCAAGCCTTGAGTCCCATCAAATGGGGTCGGCTAAATGAATCCTTCTTCTCCACGCGGCCCTATTAAAGGTCCTTTCATTAGTCAAATTAAGTAGATTCATATCTCTATTTACGACTGAAAAATCTAGAAATCCCCTAGATATTGATTTGTGATTATGTATCAATTTTAAGCAGTATATAACAATCCCAATCAAACAATCAAGACAAATCAACACAACGATTTTAACGTGGAAAAACCACAATTGGAGCACCTCCAATTGTGATAAAAAACCACGGGCAACAGCCACAAAACAATCCACTAAGAAGATATAAAGGAATTATACAGGTATACTCTCAATTACCTAGCGAATCCACGCCCGAATTGAACCAACTCCTATGTGCCTCTTCCAACCCCGTCTTCACCTCAGAATTGTCTTAACGATGAGCCACTCCAGAATCCACCAAAGCTTCAGGCTCGAATTCTTCAGAATCCACCGAAGAACAACTCTCTCTTTTGTAGAACAAACAAAAAACCCTTTGATGTATACTCTTTAAACCATGGGTTAAATACTCAATCAAAACATCAAAGAAAACTAGCAAAATATCCCCAGATATAAACCTTAACATTTAAAAAGAATATCTGGAGCAGTAATCCTAGTTTTGGACTGAAACAGATACTTATAGAAATCTGGGACTGCGAAGCTTGCACGAGCGAAGACTCTCTCGCTCGAGCAAGGAACCAAAAACACGTGTTTTCCATAAGTGGCTTCGCTCGAGCCACGCACCCTTTGCTCGAGCGTACATTCATCTCTTTCAGGTTTTTACACAAACGTAGTCTTCGCTCGAGCAAGAACTCCTTCGCTCGAGCGAGCAAGGGCGGACATGCAATTTTGAATGCAATTTTGCATTTTGCTTCGAGGGTGCTGCCCCTCAACCCCGCCGTAGCGCTGTCCCCTGGACCCCCGCGAGCTGACCGGGCAGCTCGATCCCCGTCATAATCAGCGAAGTGACAATCTTGAAAGCATTAACATCACAAACTTCTCTGCAAGGCACAATTCGGGTTGGATTCGCATCTAAAACTTATATCCTCACTGAAATACAAGAGCGAATAAAATTACAACTGAAAGGAGTTTTTGTCAAACGGGATTGCCAAGAATAAAAACCTAACAACAACGTTAGCCAACGTTAATCTAAGCCTACCCCGTCCCATAACACTCCCCTCTACCGTTACAGCATCACATCTCTTCACTACTGTCTCTGTTGGTCTCCGTTGAATGTGACCAAACCATCTCAATCGATTCTCTCTCAACTTATCTTCTATCGGTGCTACTCCTACCCATTCCCGAATACACTCATTCCTAATTCTGTCTTGTCTAGTCTTGCCACAAATCCACCTTAGCATCCTCATCTCAGCCACACTCATCTTATCTACATGTTTCTTCGTTGCCCAACACTCCGTCCCATACAACATCGCTGGTCTAATAGCCATTCTATAGAACTTACCTTTTGGTCTAGTGGGTATTCGTTTATCGCACAGCACCCCAGACGCACTTCTCCACTTACACCATCCCATCTTAATCCTATGGGCCACATCCGCATCAATCTCCCCCACTGTTGTGATAATCGACCCTAAATAACGAAAATGTTCACTCTTAGGCAATTCTTGGTTCTCAATCTTCACTCCTCCTCCGCTTTCATTGTTACTGTTACTAAATTTACACTCCATATACTCTGTCTTAGTTTTGCTTATTCGGAATCCTTTCGATTCAAGAGATTTTCTCCAAATCTCTAACTTTGTGTTAACTCCTTCTCTAGTCTCATCCACTAGCACAATATCGTCAACAAAGAGCATACACCATGGCACGTCATCCTGAATATTTCTCGTCAACTCATCCACAACTAAAGCAAAAAGATAAGGGCTTAAGGTCGATCCTTGGTGTAACCCAACAGGCGATCTAATAGTGGTCACCACCCTTCATACATGTCCCTAATCACATCAATGTAACCTTTTGTCACCCCTTTCTTCTCTAACACCCATCATATTATATCTCGGGGCACTCTATCATATGCTTTTTCAAGGTCGATAAACACCATATGAATGTCTCTTTTCTTTTTTCTATACTTTTCTATTACTATCCTCAAAAGATAAATCGCTTCCATACCCAAATTGATTCTCTGACACCTCTGTTATATCTCGCAATCGACGTTCCATCACTCTCTCCCACACCCCCAAGAGCAATTTAATGTAAAAATATTGAATTATTCATTAATGGAAAATAAAATATTTTCCATAAAATTCTGAAACCTTAACATCTTGTAGAAATATTAATTACAAGTCCAACGGTATAAGCCATGCTTCAATCAGAATTATAACGAATAATATAAAAGCAATTAACATAGTTTTGAATTAAAAAACAAACAAACAAGGCCTTGACACAGTCCCACGCCTGCATCAGTGCGTGGTAGAGGCGGAGACGTCAACGTGCGTATCGGTGACGTCAGCGCACGGGTCAGCACCACCCTCTTCTTCCTCAATGACTTCAATGGCTTCAACCCTCATCCAAAATTAGGGTTTGAGTTTTCTCCTCAACCGTAAGTCAAAACCAGACCCATAATATACCGTTTCGAAGGTTTCGAAATAAGGATTTCAAATATATAATTTTGACAACATAAAAATAAATTATGTAAATCCAACATACAGTCAAAGTTACAAAAATTAAATATGAATCTTCATTTTCCTCAAAATTCGACCGTCCAATTTTTGCAAAACTTTGCAAATATGATCTAAATAATACAGATTACAACATATATGAAATTCAGGATGATCAAAGATGATTCAAAATACATCAATTTTATGCACAAATCATATCTATACATATATTCATACACAAATAATACGAAAACACCCAACAATGGAGTAGAACTACTAAAGAACTACCCACAGTATTCACAGTACAAAGGCAGAATGGAGTAGAATTACTAAAGAACTACCTACACTATTCACAGTACAAAAGGTGGAATGGTTTATGGGAAGAGAGAATGTATAATTTTTTTGTTGTTAATTACAGAACCCAAGTTTTGTTTATATAGGAGAGTTAGTAGAACCATATGATAGATGTATTATCCCAGATAATGTCTATCCCATATCAACAACATCTAATTAATAATTATCATCCAATATATTGACAATTATCCCTATCAAGATTATCTCATATCTTGAAATATAATTTATTATTTTATTTGGATCTCTTCTAATCGGGTCATGCAACTATGGGCAACCCAATTAGGTCCGAGTTCTAAATCTGACCCAATTTCCAACAGAATCATTCACTTTTTAGAATTCATTGAGTAGAATTTTCATGCAAAAAATTAAAATGATCAGACGTCGATAGTTATGTGCTTGAATCAAATTTGTATTATAAAAAATGGATGACTATTCTTTAAATAATATGCCTTCTATTTTTTTTAAACAAATATGATTCAAACATAAAACTACTGATATCCAATTATCTTAATTTTTTTACATGAATATTCTACTCAAAGAGCTCTAGTCCCAAAATGAGCCTATCATGCCTTAATACTTTCTCAAGTTAAGATGTCAATTTGAAAGAAAGTAAACTCATACTAAATTACACCCGAAATTTCCTAGAGTCTCACTTTTACTTGTTAAGTTAATATTAATGTCCACAGATATTTATGTTTCCAAATTATTAATATAAACTAGCATATGATGAGTGCAATTCTTTTCTTCTTATATAAATTATGAAAGATTTACCCATAAATTTTATATGGGGGAATGTTGATCTATTTAGTTCTAAGAGTTTTCTTATGAACCAATTAGTCCTTTTTGTTTTGAAAAATTATATTTATTTGATTTGGTGCCATTTGAGTTTAAGTAAATGCCTTTTTGTGATTCATTTTTTCAATTTTCTGATTCGTTTTTGGGATGAGAATGGGAATGTGAGGTGTGGAAGATTCTTTTTAGAGGGATTGGTGGCTGAAGTGTTGGTTGTTGAACGTGGAAATTTGCCTTTCTATTAGTGTGGTTTTCTGGTGTTACATTGGAGTGTTACATTAAAATGCTATGTTTGTAAAAAATACACTAAGGAATTTGTTAGAATGTTACGTTATTACGTTTGAGAAAAGCACATTGAGGAGTTTTTTAGTGTGTTACATTGATTGGAGTGTTACGTTTGGGAAAAATACATTAAGGAGTTTTTTAGTGTGTCACATTGATTAGAGTGTTACGTTTGGAAAAAGTACACTAAGAAGTTTTTTAGTGTTACATTTGGAGTGTCATGTTTGGGAAAGGAACACTAAGGAATTTTTTAGTGTTACATTGATTAAAGTGTTACACTTGAAAAAAGCATACTAAGGAATTTTTTTGAAATGCTACATCGTTACGTTTGATAAAGTACACCAAGAAGTTTTGTAGTATTACATTGGAGTGTTACGTTTGAAAAAAGCACACTAAAGAGTTTTTTACTATTACATTGGATTTAGTGTTACATTGGAGTGTTACGTTTGGAAAAAATACACTAAGTAGTTTTTTTGAAATGTAATGTTGTTACGTTTGAGAAAAGTTTTAGTGTGTTACATTAGAGTATTACGCTTGGGAAAAGTATACTAAGGAGTTCTTTTTTTTTTTAGTAATTTTAACATTATGAGAAAACTCACATTTGTCCCTCAATAGATAACACACTCATGTTTATGCTTGACCCTTTATGTAATTCACACTAGAATGAGACCTTTGGGTCTATAAAGAAAAAGGAAGGACCAAACAGTTCATAAGATCAAATAAAAAAAAAGTTCATAAGATCAATATTTGAGATTTATTGATGCTTCCCCCACAAATTATTGTCATTTCTTCTCCTTTAAAAAAAAAAATGCTACAGTAATATACTCTTATACTTTAGGGCACTCAGTCCAAAAGTGCAAATTATAATTTTGTTTGGCCAGAAATCCAAGCTCTAAAACACTTTGTCTAAAAGGATAAGTTCAAGTAAAACGACCAAAATACTCTCTCTCCCTTTCTCTCTATATATATATATATGATACACAAACACATTCCATAAAAATAAAAAAACTCTCTTCTCCTCTCTTAGCTTTCCGACCTCGCTGCCCACCACCTCACTGTTGCTGTCATCCGTCGCCGACATGGCTCCGCCACTGCAGCGGAGATCTAGAAGACCATCCGTTGCCACAGTCATCTTCGATATCCTCCTCTGCCACCACTGCTCTGACACCTTTGGTTCGATCACAGACTACAGATCTGCTCCGCCGACCAGATCTGCATCTCCAATCTCCATCTCCACCAACTAGATTTGCTCCGTCATCTTCGATTTGCCATCTCCGTTGACCAGATTTGCTCCGCCGTCCAGATCTACTCTACCGAAGGATCTGAGGACATGTGTATATTTATCATTAGATCAAAAAAAGGTTGCTTCCTTTTTCCAGATCTCCTCTCCAATTTCTAGTTCTACCATTTTGATTTGATCAGTTTATATACATTATATATCCATATATATATACATACACATCACTAGCTAAACTCAGTTTATATACATTATATATCCATATATATATACATACACATCACTAGCTAAACGTCAATTGCGTGCTCATTCGATCGTCTCTCTCTTTTTACTTTGTCTTGGCTTGCATTTTAGTTGATGATTTTGCTTCGAACTTCGTTGTGTATTCAGGTTGATTATGAGTGTGCCGACAAACAATTTCGACATGGATCAAGGAGCCCTAGAGATCGGCATGGGTAAGGCCTAAAATGTATATCATATATACATTGATTTTAGTCTTAGGCTTTGTTTGAGAAGTATCGGTTGTGTGGGTTTGGAGCTATTTTAGCCACAAAAAGACAAAATAGGCTTTTTAGCCCAATAAAATAAAACATTACATCTAACCCATAATCATTATATTCTTTCTCTCACAAAAAGTCAAAAAAGCCAAAAGCCCTTCCCAAACGAGGTTTTTTAACCCCAAGCTAAAATAACCAATAAGCCAAAAAGCTAACCCACTTTTCAAACGAACCCTTAATGATGTTGTGTATGAAAAATTGAAATGTTCTTATTTTGGTGATGAAAATCAACTTAAGTGTTTGATGGATTGTGGAAAAACAGTTGACAAGGGTTTTAGAGTTGTATTTTTCTTGTCTAGTTGGTACATTTTAATCACTTGTGTTTGCTTATCATTGACACTTGTTGTTGTTTCAGATCTTCTACATAGGGACTACCAAAGCGACTTTGCTAGGGTTTTGCAACCGGTAGACAGTGTGTGACCACCACCGAGCGAAAGGAGGTCCACAACTTGCCAGATCTGATATATATATATATATATATATATAGGGTTGAATCCGAGGGTGCTTCTTGGAAACAAAGACAAAATGAGCTCAAGCTATGATCTCGTCAAGCAAATGTTGTATCTGTATATTAGATTTCGACACGGTTTTCTTTGGATTTGGATTTGGGTTGTCCGTGGTGATCTTTGGATTTGGGTGTGTGTGTGTTTTTCTAATCTTTTATCAGTACATCTATTTGTCTTCGTGCATGTGTATGGTTGTTTATCTATGTGACATATATGTGTTATTTTTGATCTGTCTGTCTTTGTGTGTGTTTGTCTTTGTTGTTGTTCTTTTGTTTGATTGCAATAGATGAAAAAAAGATTTTGACAGATAGGGAGAGAGACAGATAGAGTAGGTTTAACAGATAGGTACAAAATTTCAACAGATAAAAAAGAAGTTTGGAAAATTTTAAACAAATAGATTGACTTTTGTATTTTTTAAATAGGTAGAGAATAGAGAAAGAACTTAAAGATCGAATTCTGATAGAAAAAATTGAACAGATAGTAAAATTTAAACAAATATTTGAACATATAAAGGGAAAATTTGAATTGATAGTAAAAAAAATTCAACAAATAGTTAAAAAATTTGAACAAATAAATAAAAATTTGAACAAATAGTTAAAATTTTGAACAGATAGATGAAAATTTTGAATAGATAGTCAAAAAAAGACAGCAGATAAATTAAGAGATAAAATTGGAAACAAAATGTCTTTCAAAACAAATAAAAATACCTCTCACCAAATTATTTCACAACTTGTGGACTTTTCACCAACAAAAAATATCAACTAAACCTAACATCTTAGACATCTTCCCAATTGGATCTATAACTAATTTTCTCTATACCTATTTCTAAAATTTAATATTTAAAAGATATCTATTTAATCTGAACTACTCATAAACAAAACACATAATAGAATTATATGCGAAAAAAAATATTTTACGAATTAATCTTTCTTACTTTTATTAAAGTATTCAAAATTTAAAATTAAATATTAACAATATTTCTTATTTTTTTCACCTACCTTATTTATATTTTAATATTAATTTATATTGAGTTTCTTATTTAACATAAAGTTATTTATTACGAAAAATTATATTTGATTTAAACTTTATATACCTATATATATAATTATATGTAATACATAATTAATCCATCTATTACTTTCTTAATTTAATCACAACATACTTGTATTTAATGTTTTAAAATAAATTTTGTATTATTTTTTAAATGAATAAAAAAAATTAAATAATTAGTTTCACTTTTAATTTTATATTACTAATTCTTCTTCCCATTTATCTATTATTTATGATATCAAAATGAGTGTTTATTTTATTATGTTATAATTTAATATCACAACAACTCATTTTATATACATATATATATATATATATATCAAAGTTATTTATACGTTTTTAACACAATAGGACTATAATTATCAAATGTAGAACAATAAAATTAATATTATCAAAATAAATAATTAGGAAAGCTTTTAAATTTTTTTACTATGCTTTTTCATATAACATTGGAATATATATTGTACGGGGAGGAAATAATTCTCCTCGTATAATCCTGTTGACCAAGTCCACGCTCCTCTGCACGACGTCGCTTTATCACCTGAAAACACAAACGTGAGCTAGCCGGTGGGTGTTTGCCGGAAACCTCTCCGATGCCTAAGTCAGAAAAACTTGACAAATAGACAAAGCTCTAAGTTCTCAGAAAGATTGTGCTCAATTACCTCCTTCAAGGTGATGCTTGTGGGCTTTTATAAGTTTTCCGTGGCACAATCCTAGTAGGACTTGTACTTCTCCATGCAGAGTCCTCCTAGGATTCATTCTCCTAAGGATAATGCTTATCCTTTTACACCCTCCCCCACTGCTTAAACCAAGTGGGATGGTTTTCTCCATGGCCGAATTACTATTTGACCGAAGTAAAACTTGGCTATACTAAGCCACCGAGTGGACCGAACTCATTCATAGTTCGGTTCTTTTGTCTTCCCTTTCTTATCTCGGCTTTCCATATAGAACCCATAGTACGGTTTCTTCATGCTACACCATATCTCGGTTCTCTCATACATGAACCGTGGTGTGTTTGGACTGGTCCACTGAGTAACAACATTACAACCGACCTATCCCGAATTCAATTATGACCGGACTATCTTTTTGAGACCGGACTAACTCAAGTTGTCAACCGAAGCAGCTTTACATTCCTTTAGCCGAAGTAACTTTATCTCTTCTGACCGAAGTAAGTCAATCATCTCCGCAGAGCCGGAATAAATCTATCGCTCTTGAACCGGAGTAACTTTAACAACTTGGGCCGGAGTATCTTTTATCTCCCCTGGGCCGGAGTATCTTTTATCTCCCCTGGGCCGGAATAACCTTGCGGCCTTTTTACCAAGTCCTTGGTGCTTTGGGCCACGAAGCCCACCACATAGCTCGGCCTAATTTTTATCAAAAATTACCCTCTCAATTGCCCCTTAATTCCATCTGCATAGCATGATTTGGGATTACCAGTCCATCAGCCGAACTGGTGCCGTCTTAAGATTTTCCAGCCGAGCTAAAAATACTTTAGCCTCTCCAGCCGTGCTAAAAACTCTCGAACTTTTAAGCCGAGCTAAAGTTTACCTCGGGCTCCGTTTTGTCCGGTAAAAAACGTCTCTTCAATCATAGCGTCTGTAACGCTTCCCATTCCAGTGACACGTGGCAGGCTCTGATAAGCCATGGCCAACTGTTACGCCGCCCTGCAGAAATTTTGTACAATTCCCGCATCTTTTTGCCGCCTTTTTCTCTCCCTTCTTTCACAAAACAACCTTTCTACTTCTTGAATCACTTACTCTACTGTTTTCATCTTCTTTCTGTGCCTCTACTCCTTCCATACTCAAGCTTGTGTTCTTTACTCGCTGCCACCGTTTCCGACTCCAGTCTTCCTTCTCTCTTCTCTGGTAAGAAAATCTAACCATCTTGCTTTCTATGTTTTCGTACTTTACTTTCCATGCTTTGTATGTTTTTTGCAAACATTTTTCTCCATTTGTTGCTTTACTTTCGTACTTTTATGAAAAAACCAGTAGAACTCCATGTGTGTATGAACTGTTATGTAGAAAACCACTTTTAGATCCAAAATCACATAGCAACCGAGCTAGGATCCTGTTTGCCCCCAAATAGATAGATCTTTGTAGTCAATAACCGAACTCGCTTTAGCCGAAATAAGATCACCAAGTTTTGAATATAGCAAACTAGGAACCTCGGTGGTCAACCGAACTAAGCTTTTGGGGCCAAGTCGGCTTTCTTGGTTCCTAAACCGAACTCAGAAAGCCACCCCCGGAGGCTTAACCGAAGTAACTCTATTCACATTGCAGCCGATTTAGGCCTTGGGGCTAAACCAACTCTCTTAGTCTTTTAGACCGAACTCAGAAAGCTGCCCCTAGACGTTAAACCGGTCCACCGAGCAAACTGCTTAAACCGAGCTACCAAACGTTTTGATGAGCCGAGATAGAAAAAGTTAATTTGAGGCCGAAGTAGGGCTCTTATACCTTGCTTTTAAATTGTAGCACGGTCCATTGATCAGTGCTTTAACTCCCTCTGCTTTTTACTTTGCAGACTTAGGTTACCCAGGCACTCCTGCGTGCGCTCAACCGAGCTACTGAGCACGATTTTTGCACCGAAATAACTTATCCGTAATTTATACAACAAATGGGTAAGTATAGGTATTTAGTTGAGACCCCTGGTGGGATGGCCGAATTCAGGAAGGACTATAACATACCGGATGACGTCCATTTGACTTTGGCCGAAAAAGACATCACACCCTGGGATAACGAAGGCTTCGTCCCCTTTACTCTTCAATCCATAATAGAAACCGGACTACGGTTTCCCGTACAACCGTTGATCTGTGAGTTCCTTAGGCAAACTAGGTTATGCCCCACCCAACTGTCCACCAATACATACCGTATTATTATGGGAATAGCCGCACTAAACCACCAAACCGGTTTAAACCTCGGCCTTGCCGAAATATTCCATCAATATTCCATCGGCTCGAAAGATGCTGGGTGGGT